TGTTGCGGGACACTCTTGTGGGACACTCTTGTAGGACACTCTTGTGGGACACTCTTGTGGGACACTCCTGTGGGACACTCTTGTGGGATACTCTTGTGGGGCACTCTTGTGGGACACTCTTGTAGGAAACTCTTGTGGGACACTCTTGTAGGACACTCTTGTGGGACACTGTTGCGGGACACTCTTGTGGGACACTCTTAAGGGACACTCTTGTGAGACACTCTTGCGGGACACTGTTGCGGGACACTCTTGTGGGACACTCCTGTGGGACACTCATTTGGGACACTCTTGCGGGACACTCTTGTCGGACACTCTTGTAGGACACTCTTGTAGGACACTCTTGTGGGACAATGTTGTAGGACACTCTTGTAGGAAACTCTTGTGGGATACTCTTGTAGGACACTCTTGTGGGACACTCTTGTAGGACACTCTTGTGGGACACTCTTGTGGGACACTCTTGTGGGACACTCTTATAGGACACTCTTAACTCTTGTGAGACACTCTTGTGGGACACTCTTGTGAGACACTCTTACGGGACACTCTTGTAGGACACTCTTGTGGGACACTCTTGTAGGACACTCTTGTGGGACACTCTTGCGGGACACTCTTGTTGCACATTCTTGTAGGACACTCTTGTGGGTCACTCTTATGGGACACTCTTGTCGGACACTCTTGTGGGACGCACTTGTGGGACACTCTTGTGGGACACTCATGCGGGACACTCTTGTGGGACACTCTTGTAGGACACTCTTGTGGGACATGCGGGACACTCTTGTGGGACACTCTTGTGGGGCACTCATACGGGACACTCTTGTGGGACACTCTTGTGGGACACTCTTGTGGGAGACTCTTGTGGGACACTCTTGTGGGACACTCTTGTGGGACACTCTTGTAGGAAACTCTTGTGGGATACTCTTGTAGGACACTCTTGTGGGACACTCTTGTAGGATACTCTTGTGGGACACTCCTGTAGGGCACACTCTTCGTACGAGACTTCCTCCAAAAGTCACGCTGCGAGGCTGCAAGACGAGCTTTTCGTACGAGACTTCCTCCAAAAGTCACGCGTCAAGTCTCAAAAACGAGCGTTTCGTACGAGACTTCCTCTAAAAGTCACACGTCAAGTCTCCAAAACGAGCGTTTTGTACGAGACTTCCTCAAAAACTCACATGTCAAAGTCTGCAAAACGAACGTTTCGCACGAGACTTCCTCCAAAAGTCCAGCGGAAACACCCATCGGAGCACACACATCACGCAGCCCTGCCAAGCAGTTTCGCGATTCCAGCCCCTCCAAGCGACACCCGCTCACACGCCAATCCCAATGTGACAGCGACATTCACCTCTACCACAACTCACAACCTCCCGATTCCCTGCGCCTGCCACGAATCTTTCCGCGCCCACACGTCTAACGCGCACAAAGTACTGCGCCTGCCACGAAATGTCACCTCCGTCACACCTCGCAACCTCACGACTCCCTGCGCCTGCCACGAGAATCGCACTTCCACACCTCAAAAGCCGCACAAAGTACTGCGCCTGCCACGAAAAGTGACAATATCGTCTCATGTGAGCTTCAACAAAATTTGCACCACACCACACGTTTGGAATGATTTCGACCCGTTCTGAGCACACTCCCATCCACCAAAATCGGCATTTCAGCTGAGACTTGTCACGAAAACAGAGCTTCGATGCCACACCCTGAAACGCAAATCCCAATGGCACAGCCACATCCAACACCCCAAAAACACGACTCTCCAAACGCTAATCCCAATGGAACTGCGCAGCAATCTGCAGATCTCACAAAACGCTGCGCCTGTGCAGCGAAACGCATCACGTTTCTTGCGCGGCATGTCATTTTCATGCAAATCACAATGGAATAGCGGCGCAAACTGACACGTGACACATCCATGAAAAGTCACTTGCAAAAGCTTCCCCCAATGGCAGTGCCTTAGCGACCTACTGCGGACGGTTGCGAACGGTTGCGAACGGTTGCGAATGGTTGCGAACGGTTGCGGACGGTTGCGAACATAGAAGCAACGGGTCGCGAACAAGACTCTACCCCCAGACCCCCAGAGTTAAACGAGAACCCTTCGCTACGCATTCGGGAAAATGGCCGGATGAAAAGACAGTTTCCAAAGTTTCCGGACATATTTGACTGGGGATGGTTGCAATCACCCACCAGCAATCATTTCAATTTCCATCAATTTCCCATATTGATTGTGATGGTCGATGATTGGATTTCTCGAACCAAGCTGGATTTGGTTCAATCTATCCCCATGCTTGTAGTAATTAGTAAGTAAATGTGCCCTAGCCTTCCAAGAACTGTAAAATACAGGTTGACCTGGTTTTGTAGTGTTCGTCTTCCTTAGAAAACAATGGCTTGTTCGGTGAACCATATTTAATTATTGGTGGTTGGAAGGCTAGGGTGTATGAAAAATGTTGGGTATAAAACGATTATCCTTATTCTAGAGAAAGGCCTTTACTAACCATCATCATCCACTGTCACAGGCAATAGGATACATATAATGCATACATGATTACACATTATTATACAGTATACAAGTTTTTTGTTTCCAGGCTAAACCTGATTCGGGTGAAACATGACGATTTTTGTTCATGAATCGTCGAATGAAATCGGACTCGTTGAGAAGTCAGAAGTTCCGTGGTAGCTGTGCTTGTTTTTGCCTTGGCTAAGTGACTAAGTGCGTGGATCATGGGCACAGCACAGTGGATTGGCGCGGCACACCCGACCCGCGCCTCTTGGCGCTCGTGAGAGATTGGACGACTCCAAGTGAGAGTGGTTGTTGGGTTGTTGGCCAAGTTTGGTGTTGTTCGACTCATTGTGTTGTTCATCTTGTCGCTATGTTGCTTTTTCATTGTGGTGTTGTTCTTGTTTCACATGTTGCTTTGTTGGGAATGTTCATTGAGCAGACTGTTCGCGGTCGCTGGTCGTCTTTAAGAGGAGATCCGTGGCGAGAACTTCCTGAATGTGCATAACATTGGTCAGAGGCCACGCAGGGACGCAGGGAGAGGGGAGGAAGCTGGTGAAGCACCGTTTTTTTTCACCACCAAGGAAAGCACCGCTGCTGAAGTGGCTTGGGCAATAGCAAAAATAGGTTGGAATGTGATGGAATATGCACTAAAAGTAAAGTTTATATAAGTGTTTTCCATAATTTCTATGTTCCTGGAAACGGCATAGTGGCATAAGGCAACCAAATTTCAGGAGCAATGCCCATTTGAAATGCGATCGCCTTCCTCCTTCAGGGCAGCACATGGAGTGTTGTTGTGGTCGGTATGCAGCAGGTTGGACTGACCCCCAATGTGAGCAGGTTGCAAGTGCTCATGTCAGCTATATGTGGCTATGGCTCAGAAACGACAACTCAGGGACTAGGAGGTTCTTGCCTATTTTGGCCCTGTGTGTGGCAACACCAGCGCTAGCATTTTCAAGCACAGGGCCAGGGGTACAGGGTCAGGCAAAGAGTCAGTCACGGTCAAGGTGCAATTTTGAGGCCTTGCCAAGGGTTTGGGGACCTTTTTTTCCAAACAGACAACGAACACCTGCGCCCAGACCGAAAGCCAGTACTCTGAATGTCTGAGATTTTCCGGTCTTTTAAGAACCACCGACGAACCGGCCCCGGGACAGCACAGGCTGTGCGCCGAACCGCCCGCGGACGCCGCTCTCTGCGCGCGTGCGTGCGCACAGCGGTCGGTCGGCAGGAACACCAAGTACCTCCAGTGGACCAGGAACTTTGCGCCGTTGACCACACGAGTCTCCTGTCATCACACCCAGTCCTATGTGCCGCTGCCCTTGGGAGACAACAAGATCAATTCAGATCTGGCCGCATCCTTCAAGCAGCCGGGACTGGTGTTAAATTTGCGTGCGCATGGAGGTGATATGCAGTGAGCAAAAAGATGACAAACAAGTTGATGATTTTTTTCTGTAATTATCCAGACACTCCATGTATGGTATACATGACATCATTGGCCCCAGGTCAACCACCCCGACTGATCGGTAAATTTGCCAGTCCCATGGATTGAGTCTTCAGATACCAAACATTGACATTGCTCAAGCCCAGAGCTCATCTTCTCAAGATTTCCCTAGCCATTTCAGTAATGGAAGCTGAAGGTGTTCTAGGGATCCACGGAACTGTTTTGGGAAGGAAGACGAGCCGGATTTGGCTGATTTGGCTGTTTTGAGTGCCATCAAACGCACGTGTGCTGCGACAGTTGTTCTTTTTGATTACTGCAGAAGTGCAGCAAGGATCCCTGATGTCGATCTATTCTTGTGGATTGGTGTAAAAGATACCTGATGGGCTATGTATTTATACGGGACGGTATATATATATACTTGCTGAGCAGAGAGTGGCTCTGACGCCACTTGCCACTCCTTAAGCTCTTCATACGCCGACACCGCCGACGCGCCACACTTCCCGCTTGCTTGATCATCTCAGGAAGGGGTGGCAGCAGAGCAAAGGTGGGAGCATGGCCACCATGGACAATACCACCATGTATGAGGATGACTTTCCGGGCATGAGCAAGAAGGCCGATGTCTTTGACGGTTGGCCGGGCCGTCCTTGTTCGCGGCTAGCTGGGGCCCTTCCGCAGAAGACGAGACGTTCATGACAAGAGAGGCGTTATTTCGTTGCTCTCTCTCTCTCTCTCACATTGAAATGATCAGGCAAAAAGAAGATCAAGCAAAACGCTGCGAGGGTTTGAGTCCGACCTCAAGTTATACTTCAAAGACCCAGTCGGCGGGTGTTTGGGGGGGTCCCTCTCATCACCATTTTGCACACGTCTTCCAGATCAGGCTCTTCAGGCTCTTACTTTCGTTGGCTGACCAGTGGGATAGGCAGGGTGTCATTCAGTGTCCTTCCTTCTTTTCTACCCCCCAGGAGACACTTTGTCTTCCCCCTATGACCACCCCTATGACACTTAAGTGTCATTCCCAGATTGAACCTTCCAGGAGCTGGGATTTTCAGCCCAGACTTGGAGGTTCAACCGATCCCACCAAGCTGGAAAGCCTTTGATCCTCCTGGCCAGCTCCATGCAGCTCCACAGGTTCCGAGATGTGTTCCCTGCTCCAAACAGTTAAAGGCTTTTTCACGTGGAACAGTGACGCAATGCAACGCCACAGGAAACACATTGAAACGCGAAGTAAACGCGACGACCCCACACCCTCACCAGCTGCGGCTTCCTTCGTGGACTCTCCCTTCGTGACTCTCCACCAGACGACCTCCGACCTCCTCCGACTCATCTCGGTCTTCTCGGCGCGATGGCCCGTCTCGCGCGTCGCACGCGCCAGGAGCTGCTGGGTGCTCGTCAGCCGAATCGGAAGCCGGCGCAGACGCTGACGCAGACGGTGGCACCGCCGGGGGAGCTCTTGGACGCTCGGGAAGGAACGGGTTTTGACGGTGGAAGGGGAGAACTTAAGGTGTGAAGCACCTGTGATAGGGACAGAGAAAATGCTATAGATCGAGGTATAGTGTTGTAGAGATATATTTTAATCATTAGTGTTATTGTACACAGATTTGAAATTATGATTACAAAGAGAGTGACAGCAGCCTAGTGAAGGCCCTTTGGACGTCACGTTTCAGACAGAACATCCGCCTTTGTACCTTGTAAAGGGTTCTATGATGTGGATTTACCTTGAAATAGAGGTGATTGGCCTGGGGTGAGATGTTTCTTCGTTTGGGACTTGGTCCTGCTTGAGCTGAACGTTCTCCTCAACTTTCCATTCCTATCGTGATTCGCATGGAAGATGGCCCAGATCCTTGGTTGGAGTGGAACTTGACACCCTCATTATCCCTCATTACTCATCGATCCAGATGATGCTTTCAGCCCGAAAGATGGTTTCTACTCCTTAGTAAGCTTCGGACTGCACTGTTGCTCCAGATGAAAGCGACTTATGAACTTACTTGTGGATCACTTGGGGAGATGGAAGTGACACTCCGACTAAACAGTATAGGTGTGTTTCATTGTTTTTCCGCATTTGCTTGCGCTTTCGGCTGCGCATTCGGCCGAGCGGTGTGCATCGTTGTTGTGTCCTGAAGTCCGATTGCTTAAACTGGGTCGCCCAACACCAAGGAAGGGATGCACACAAGTTGTGTTTTCTGAAGATACACATGATTTAATTGTATATATCATATTCATTCATATTCATTAATATTCTTTATATACTATATGATGTATCGTCTCACAACCACACCAACGTTTGTGGTCGTTCCTTCCCAACTAACTGAGGAGCTTCAGTCGCACGAGCATCGCCACTTCAAGAGCCCTGGGCCGTCGAAACTGGAGGTCGAAAGCTTTCTCGTTGGGCGACCAGGATTTGAACAAAGGTTGGTACAGCTGGGTGGGTGGTTTCAGATATGGTGGATCGCACCCGGCCTGGTTGCGCACTCGTAGCTTGACGGAGGCCGGAGGTCGTGGATCCTGTTCATGTTCGCTGGGAAACACGATAGCCCAGACGCGACCCGTTCGGCCCCGAATCCTTTGGAGGGGTCGGACCTGGAGGGGTCTGGGGTTTCTCACCAATCCCGATATCAGTTTTGGTTCGGGAACCGGTCGGGCGTCGTTCACGTGTGGGTCCGGGTCCTTTCGGTGTCATGAACCAACATATATACCAGTCCGACTCCAGCTGGGACTGCCAGTCCGGACTGCCGATGATCAAAGGCCGTCGGGGTGGTGCCCAGGGGGGGGTCAAGGCATATATTGGCAGTCCTATGGCAATCCCATGGAGTGTATGGGTATGTCTATCCTACAGAGGTTAAGTGACCTGAACTAGGACCCTACAGGGGTACCTATAGGATAGTCTATAGGGTTCTTCAACCTCTGTGATGATTGATCCATATTGATCCCACTGACTCTCCTATACTTCGTTTGTGAGTTGAAATCACCAGCCAATCAAATTGTCAAGCCTGCCCAGTTGGTTCACATGAGCCGCTTTGGGGGATTTGGGGACAACCCCCCTAAAACTTCAACAGGTGAAGCAATTCTTAAGGTGAACCGTTGACTTCTACAGAAACTAATTGAACACTGAGGGAACATGATTTCCTGCATCCTGCATCCGGCAAGTCTTTGGAACAGTCTGTGAAAGCAAGATCCGCATCATGATTGGCACCTTTCACTAGAGTCGGTGGTAGATAACCTACTTTAATGTCAACTGCGCATGAGTAGAGACGTCGGTCAGATTGAAACCTACAGACTCTGTAGATGGGCAACCTGGAGCCGGATTCATCACAGCTGTGCCGGAGGTTGGCTTCTTGGAAAGACAATGACAAGGAACTTCAAGGGACAACGGGTGTCCCTTCAAACTAAATCGTAGAAGTCATCATAGTACTCAGGTCAAGATCGCAGCCAGGTCAGATGCCTTTGTTTTGCGTATGGCAGGTGCGCTCTTTCCCTTCCATCCAGGCCCGCTGAAAACCCCGAACACCGCCCCAAAGAACACCTCCGAACACCGTCCCAAACCACCACGCCACGCCCCCTGTCCTGGCGCGCTTTGTTCAGGAAGCCCCGGGCCGAGCTGGCGAAGAACCCTCGCGTGCCGCCGCCGCGGCAGGCGCTGGAGATGGGCGGGGCGCCAGTGGACCCGCCGAAGCTCACCACCTACGTGCCGTGGCGCTGATGCGACCGCCGACGCCGACGACCACGTGAGCAAGAAGCTAAACTCTCTGTCATACAGAGTAGGAATGGAGCCGAGATTGAGTGAAAAACCTTCACTTCGATCTGTAAAACGATATATGAACTCCTAAAAACGATAACCCTTGGGTGATGTGATGTGCTGTGCTGTGTTTTGATTGATTCGCCTTCGCAGCCATTTTGAAGCCATTACGCATCCATTTATCCATTTATTTGAGACGAAGACGAAGATCGATGTCTTCCAGCAAGCCGGTTCCAATGGATTGTGTGTTCTTCGTCGAGACCGGGAGTAGCAGGGGAAGGACGATGAAGGACGCGACAGTCCCGCCGCGGCGGTCTTTTGGGGGTGCAGAAAAACTGTGTGTCATGTATGTGTGTGTTTTTGTATGGATGTGTGTGTGTGGTAGCTGGTACTTGGTTGGATGTTTCTTTTAGTATATAGTGTATCGATCCATGATATTCCGTGACAGTGTGTGTGCGCCTTATTTTTTGTGTGGGGGATGTTTGGACAGATTGTGGGATGTTTCTGGACAGATTGTGGGATGTGCTGGCTTTCAGATTGGGTGGTTTTCGTCACAATCCGTCTTCGTGCAGCGATGTCGGATGTGATGCGGTCCGAGGTGCACGTACTCACAGGCTTTCAACGTCAGGCAGCAGGCAGCAGGACAGTTCATGCTTTGTCACTATTGGTTCCATGGGTTTGTATTCTACTACGAAACTCCCGACCAATGGGTTGTTGTGTGTTTTCTACTCTTCTTCCAGAGAGTCTAGACCGGAGGTCTCCTTGATCAAAAGACACACCTGTTCCATCCGGTTCCCTTTCGTTCATAGTTCTAGAGTTTTTACTGGATCTGGGTTTGTTTTTCAAAAAGGGATATTGTTGGCTCTGGCTGGGTAGACTGGTCTATTTCCCGAACCGAACCCATGGGGGCACCGAGAATCGCCCACACCGTCCAAGGTGCGGGAGCACATCTGGCTGACGGCGTCGGAGCCCGAACTGCGTCCCACCAAGGCGGAGAAGCGGAAAGTGCAAGAGACCTGGCTGGAAAGAGCAAGAGAGCTGGGTGACCAAGACCACATGGAGATCCCAAGTTCGGGAGCCAGTCGTACCTTTTCTCAGGTTCGGTACGGCTGGACCCTACTGGCACCTACATAATCTCCAATTACCTAACCTGAGAAAGTACGACTGGATCCCTAGGGAGCTGATGGTTTGCTTGATTGATCAGTTTTGGTTGTGTTTTGTTTTGATGACATCCATTGGACCGGCCAAATGGGTGCTTATACTCGGTCCCTTCTTCCCCTTCGCGGTCTCACCAGGTGTTCAGGTCGATTTGTCCAAAACATGCAACATCGGTCGCATTCGTCTGTTGTGCGCCCGAACAGGTTCTGGCTTTGCTATTGGCCAGGTTTGGTGTTGGACTTTCCCCGGTTCCTGGGTGAGTCGCAGAAGACTCTGGGCCAATCTTTTCTTTTTGGGTTCCTTCAGCAAATCTGAGAGTCTTTCTTGGTCTCGAGGCCATTCAGTATGGCTGGGTGGACCCATTTCGTTCGCCGAACTCCATGGCAAACTCACAAGAGAGACGCTGATTGCTCCTCTCAAGTGATGATACATGATGACACCAGGGTCTTCTGCTGTCTGAAGTGCTCTAAGCGGTTGGTTGTTGAGTCAACCTTGTAACAGGCCTCTTGTCAAACTGTAGGTCTTTCTTGTCAACCACGTCAAGAGGTCTGTGAGCCCCTACTCCGCGTGTGAAAGTGAGTGAATGGGCCGTTCTTTTTGGATTTCGTTCGACGGTCATGGTTCCGACTTAGTCCATCTCACTCCATGAGTGACAGGGAGTGTCACTTCGCTCAGGGCGCGTCGCTCAGGTGGCGTTCGCCTCAGTGTGAGTTCGTTGTTGTACCATGATCCCCAGCCGGGAAGGCACTCCGAAGCGGACCAAGAGAGGTTGAGAGACCGCTTCACGTTCGGACCCTTTTTAGTAGGTGGTACATATCTGGGATTCCCTTTCAGACAATTTTTAATTTCTGGTTTCCGGTCTAAATGCCTACAGTGTGTGAGGGTGGTGGAGGGTACACCTGATTGGAGGGCTATCTTCACTGCTCAAAGCTTGCTGCGCTCTATAGAAAACACGATACACCATTCTTGTTCCTTCTTGTTCACTCGGTATCGAGGGCGGCAAGACCAAGCCCCTGGCCACCCAAGCGCGGCGCGCGATCAACGCCCTGGCATCCCGACTGACTCGATGTTCGACGTCTAGTCTAGGTTAAGCAGGTGGCGTGTGGAGGAGATGTGGAACCCTGTTAGCTGTTAGCTGCCCTTTTTTTGGGCTTTGGCACGCTTTGGACACTTTGGTATTGTTTGTAGAGACTGTTTGGAGCATTTGAGGCATGATGGGCATGTATATATTATATGCGTATACTTATTGCGTGCCTATCTATCTATTTATCTGTCTATTTGTTTGTCTGTCTGTCTGTCTAACTCCGGATGTCCGACGTCGGGACAGGTTTCATGAGGTTTCTACACCGTGGTGAGTACTGGCAGCAATATCTGACAACTGCTGCTTGATCGGCTTCATGCTGCAGGCTCAGTGAACTGATAGGAAAAAGGCGAACACCCTTCTTCTCCATCGTCCCTATCCTCTTCTTTACTCTCTCCCTGGCATCGACTCGTCCGGCTTCATCCCTTCCGGGACTGGTCGTACAGCTGCAGCAGCACCAGGCACTTCCCGCAAGTGTTAATAAGGCTAAGTCAAGTTGCCTGTTCATTTTACTAGACAAGTGACTTCATTTCGGAACGGGCATATGAGACAAGAATTAGAGATTCGGCGTTGGGCGTTGGGCGGAATGATGGCCGCAAGCCCTGCTGGTGTGCCAGGCGCGACACTGCGGTTCCGGAAACTGGGTGTGGAGCAGAAAAGTCGGGAAACTGGGCCCCCTGGACGACGTACAACTCTGTGGTTCGGCAAAACATGCCAGTTCCAATTGACACGCATTTCTTAAACAACACACCCAGAGAAATCTTTGGGCCCGCAAGGACCCACCTGCCTCCTATTTTCAATTGCACGGCTTGACCGCAGGATCCCCCAATTCCCTAAACCATCTTGAGCAGTGGTGCAAAAATAGCAGTGCCCTTCAGACCTCAGGTTCTCACAGGAAACAAAAACCAACGTTCATATATGCAAAAGCTACATGGGAAGACGTGGAAGGTTGGTAGGAAGAAACCCAGTAGTTTTATGTCACATCCTGGCAGTGGACTGAAACTCTCCACCGATAAACCCACTTTCAGGCCAGCGGCGAAGGCCAACAAAGAGGGTCACGGCGGATGCTCCTTGTCCTGTGGCTGGCGCGGCGGACGGAGCGCTAACCCGGCGCGCCGGACGCTCCTGCTTTGTTTGAAAGATGTGTTGTCGGTTTGCGGGGTGAAAAACAAAAACGAAGTTAGCACCTCTGATGCATTAATCAGTCTCGTGATCCTCAGGAAATCTTCGGAACATACCGGGCCAGGACCTGCCCTCCGGCCCTCATCACCCGGCGCGCCGGGCACAATTGTTTTCAGGTCTGATCTCTGCGGTACGAAAAAAAGTTCAAATGAGACTTTGACTACGTTGTATGAGGTTTGCTCGACCACTCGACAAAAGCGACCAGACCTTGACCCGGTGTGATGGTTTGTATTTGCTGCCTATATATTTTCAACCCATGCAATATACTCAAAACACAACATTGCAACCCGCCATAGGTTTGACAAGAGGTTGGGACATTGTTTATCTTGGGGGCTCCTCCAAAAATCAACAAAATAGACATGGAACGCGTTTTCCGTTCGACCTACGTTTTAGGTGCTCCCAATATTGGCGGCCAA